TGTATCCAGCCTCAATAGATGAACAAGCAATATTAGTTTGTTTCTTGGCCGACCATAAAAGCAAAGTTGTACATAGAAAAATGTAGTAATCAGTGGTAAGCTTCCTATCAATGGGATCGCCAGCCTAATCAAAGTCTGCATATGCAGTAAGTTGTAGCTGACCCGAAGATTTCAGTAAACCATGCTCTAACGTCCCTTTAAGGTATCAAAAGTATGCTTTAGTTAGCAGTTGAAAATGAGTCAGTTGAGGGGAATGCATAAATTGACAGAGCTTATTTACTACAAATGCCAAGTCTGGTTTCATAATAGTAAGGTATTGCAGTGAACCAACTGTATGTCTATAAAAAGTTGGATCGGGAAAGGGACCAGAACCTTTTGCAAAAAGCTAGGTGAGTACATGTTTAGAGTCATCCATATTTGCTTTGGTAAGTATTTCTGCAGCATATGAGGATTGATGTAGAAGAAACCCATTCACATAAGGCTAAATGGGAATGTCAAAAAATTGGGATGGTCATCCATGTAATTTCATTTGAAATATATATTGTAAAGTCTAAAACAATTCTTTAATTTTAGTAAAATCATTACATGTTACTAAGATATCATCAGCATAAATGAGAAAATATATACAACTATATTTTTTATGAAAAATGAAGAGGGATTGATCAACAACACTGGATGTGAAGCCCCATTATAGCAAGTAAGTTGTAAATGTCAAAAATTATTGACGAGGTGCCTGTTCAGATCATATGAGGCATTATTTAACTTACAAATTTGAGACGGATAATTGGGATCCCTAAAGCCATGAGGTTTTTGCTTATAATAAACATGTTCAGATATATCACCATGTAAAAATGCATTGGATACATCTAGTAAATGTATTGACCATTTCAATGTAAGAGCAATAAATAAGAGCAACCAACTAGTAAGAATTTTTGCAATTGAAGAAAATGTAACAGTGAAATCAATACAAAATTCTTTGCAGTGACAATGAGCTACAAGTCTAGCTTTATAATTAGCTACAGACCTATTACTGCGTAATTTGATTTTGAAAAGCCATTAACACCTCGACACATTTTAATTGGAAGAAAAAGGAACTAAAGTTCATGTTTCTTGATTAAGAAGAACCTAAAACTCTTCAAACATGGCACGATGCCAGTGGGCACATTTTAACAACAGCAAAGTAAAAGGAGGGGTCAACACTAGATGAGAGAGAATGTTGAAGAGTAAAGATGGTGCGAGGGTTAAGTCTACCTATTTTGGCTCTAATAAGCATAGGATGAGACGGCTGATATAAGTCAGGTAGAGCTATACTTACGGACTTGAAGTAGTAGAGGGCTCGACTGATGGTATATAAGATGTTTGAGTGCTTATGGGAGAGAGGTTAGGTGTTGAGTTTATAATAGAGGGGGAAGACTGAGATGTAGGATAAGGAATTAGTAGTAATGGAGACATGGTGGATGGTTTACTGGATGAAGTTGTAGTAGATGACAAAGAGTGAGTGGAAGATATATATTGAAAAGGAAATTCATTTTCTTAAAATTTAACATGCAGAGCTATGATGATTTTTCAAGTAATTGGATTGAAACAATAATAACCTTTATAGTAATCTAGATATCCAATAAAAATGGAAGCAATTGCATTGGGTGAGAGTTTATGTTTAGTAGTGAAGAGAGAAAGAGGATAACAATAACAACCAAAGACCCGTAGATGATTATATGAAGGATTTGTATGATATACTAATTGATAAGGAGACTTGTTTTGAATGGCAGGACTTGGCATGTGATTTATTAGATATATAAGTGCGAGTGCGACAGAGGCCCATAATGATTAAGGTAGATTGGCATGAAGTAGTAAGGTACGAACTGTTTCAATGATATAACGATACTTACATTCAATAAGACCATTTTGTTGAGGTGTATATGGATAACTCAATTGATGTATTATACCATGATGATTAAGGAAGGAAATAAATGTAGTACTAGTGAATTATCCACCCCATTAGTTATTAGAGTCATAATAGAATGACCCAATTGTTTCTCCATTGAAGTCTTAAAATGTTAAAATTTGCTAAATGCCTTAGATTTTTGAACCATAGGGTACAAGCAACAATAGTGAGAGAAATCATCTACAAAAATAACATAATATCGAATAACTTCAAAAGGAAGACACCGAGGATAGACCCCAAACATTAGAATGGATTTATTGTAAAGGTTCACAACTCGTTGACATAGAAATAAGAAATAACAAATGATGACTTTTAGTTTGATTACATGTATGACCTGATATACTAAACGAAGGCAAAACTGAGCTAGGATAATTTTTTTTGAAATTTTGAAAGAACCGGATGATGTGGATGACCCAATCATTGATGTCAGAGAGAGAGAGAGAGGAGGCAACCAACGAGCTGAACAACACAGGAATGGAATCTGGATTGGAGGCGAAGTGCAATGGGTATAGACCATTGTTATTGCGACTTGAAAGAAGAGTTTGATGGTTCTTAGAATCCTTTATTTGATAGCTAGTAGAGTTAAAGGTGATATAATAACTATTATGAGCAAGAAATTGCTGAACAAATATAAGATTATGGGTAAGGAATGTAACATGATATAGTGAAGAAAGAATAAGCTTATGTGTAGGTGCAAGAAGGATGCCTTGACCCGATGTATTGATAGATAGATGTTGATCACCATTGCACACGAAAATGTTCTACGAACCAAAGTATGGAGTTGGATTTTGTAAATTATTGAGGTATAAAGTGATGTGCAAAAAAGCTTCAGTATCCATAAATCAACCTTCATATGTAGTGTCAGAAGTATGAGTAATACATGTAGTTGGTGCAGAAGATGGCGACAGATACTAAAGGTCAGAATGATACCAACAATTACCAATTGAGTGACCCTTATTCAAATAAATTTATAATTTAATGAAGGTGGAAGAGTTATGAACATTTATGTTGAATGGAGCATGATTACCACAAATACTTGAATGACCACGAGTAGATGATGCACGAGGATGAAACCGTCCACGATTGGCAGTGAGGGCAAAGCATGTGTTATAGCATAGATGAATCTCACACAAAGCATCAGTAATAATATTAACTTCTTCATTGAATACCAAGAAATAAAGGTCGTCCAAATTAAGGGGCTAAAGGTTTATGCGAATTGCTATTTTGAAGGCATTATAAGCTTGAGGAAGACCATTTAATGTATAAAGGATGAAGTCCTCGACATCAAGAGGACTGCTAGCATCACAAAAAGATATATATTGAGTCATTATCCGATCCTTCATGTTGACATGATGTAGTTCACTCTTTAATTGAAGTATATGTAAAAGGTTAGAAGATTGAAGTCTTTTATCAAGAGTATGCCAAACTTCACTATAGCTAGAGAAATTTTAAACATATGGTAAGAGGGCTTGAGAAATAATAAAATAGATGGCTAAGATAAGATTCTGATCAATCAACATTCACTCAGTATAACTAGGATTAAGAGTAGAAGTCCCATTGGTACTAGATAAAACGTTGGGAGGTTGAACTACAGTACCGATTAAAAAAGTCTCAAATACACTTGCAGTGAATATTTTGAACACATAAGAGCGCAAATAAGGTGATTATCAAAAGTAAGAGGAATATTAATCGTACTCTTCATATTTTTGATGAGAAATTTTAGCTGAGCTAGCATGTGAAGCTCAAAGGTAGGTGAACCAGGTATCACAGTACTACGTGAATTTGGTGAGTCCATTAAAGCATGATATAGAAAAAATATGTTGTTAAGCTATAAGCTCTGATTCCATGAAAACATAATATCATTATAAGGGAAACTTTACAATAGTAAATAAGAAAGTAAAATAAAGCAAACTCAAACCAGGAATGCAAACAATAATGCTTTTCATTAAACTTTTTTCTTTACTCCTGCTATTACAGTCTACAGTAATACTTTATAGAAGATGATAAGAGCATCACATTGATTCGCTTCTTAGTACATATTGAGTGAACGACTGAGATGAATACTGACTAAAATAAATTAGAGAGGTGGTGATAGAATTTGAGAAATAAAACTGCAACAGGATATTCTTAATCTGTTTTAACAACATCAAGTTTTTATTCTATTGTGTGGCGTCGACTACATAAATATTTTTCTCTATGATATTTATGAAGAGTTAAAAATTTTCATTTAAATTTAATAATAAACTATTTGTTTTTTTATTGAAAAATAAATATAATAGTATGATAGTTATAATTTTTTTTACATTGTGCATATAACTCACACTATTTTACCATAGAATATCTCTCTCCTTGCTCTGAAATTGTGCGGATACAGATGCTGTCCAAAGGCGAATTAGAGCGTGTCACTTCATCCTTTTGCTGTGTACCGCAACTGTGTACCAGGTGATGTGTCACGCTCTGATTCACCTCTGAATGATCCGGTGTATGCACAAAATAATTTCTCTTCCTTACCTGTCTTTGATTGATTGAAGAAATTTTTCTAGTACTTGCTTTATTATTAGGAATAGACTCCAACTAATCTGAACAAATAAAGTCAGCAGTTAATTTTTTTTTATAAAAATTAAATTATCTCTAATTTTATTTAGATATAAAATATTATACTATCTCACATCAATATTATTTTAAATATCAAATGATTCCAACTAAAAAAAAATTTTTGAGACGAATTTAATAAAAAATTGTAATTAGTTAATTAATTATTTATATTACACTTATATTAATAAATTTTTTGACATAATTTGTCTATAAATTTGATGAAAATATCATCACCTGATTTTTTTTCGAAAACACCTGAATTTGTTAGATGTAAAATAATAATAATAAAAAAAAAAAGATGAAAACAACCGATCGAATGGAGCCGAGCGTGCTCAGCTTATGCCACAAATAGACAGAAGCAGTTTCTATTTTCAGCAATCACATCATATTAATTTATTTTGATTATAATAAATTTTAATATATATATATATTATATTCATTTAAAAATACATTCTGATCAAAGTTTAATAAAGAAACGAATGCTATTCGCCTATTCTTTATGCTTCGTTCTTATCTGTATTTCTCGTCTGGTTTTTGGTTTGTTGGATTTCTGGATAGAGAAACCATTAGCTCCGAGAAAAGGAGGTCTCAGAGGAGAAAGACATGGCTTTTCCGCGAGGCAATGCTTCTCTTCTCCTTCTCCTAATCATTTGCATCCTCTTCATCTCTTCCGTCGCTGTTTCTTTGAAGAAACCCTCTTCTGGTTCGTTCCCTGTCCTGATTTTCAAATTTAATGCGGCTTTTTTCAGGTTTTAAATCTGTTCTTTCTTTTTTTGTGTGTTTCTTGGAGAATAATGGTTTTTTTATTAAATGGATTTTTTTTTTTTGGTTTTTGCAGAGAGAGGAAGACATAGCTTTGTTCCCTTTAGGAGGTCTATTGGGGAGATTTCTACTAAGTTGGTGAACAACAACTCTTTTGTTTTGGCTTCAGAGAGGACTAATAGGAGAGATCCTCTGAACAACTTCAAAGATTACACTGGGGGTTGGAATATCAGTAATCGCCATTACTGGGCTGTGAGTTTTTTCAATCTCTTAGTTAACCTTCATGTTCTTTGCTCTTCTTTTTCTGAGATTCTTATTCATTTTACAATTTTTTTTCGCAGTCCGTTGGTTTCACTGCTGCTCCTCTCTTTATCATTGCCCTTGTGTGGTTTGTGATATTTGGATTGATTTTGATCTTTAGTGCTTGCTATTACTGTTGCTGCCGTCGCCCTATAAATTCTTATTCTCGAGTGGCTTATGCAATCTCTCTAATACTTCTATTGTTCTTCACCTTGGCTGCAATGTATGAACTTTTCTTCTTTCATATCTTATTTTGGTCATTGAATTGCTATTGATTGTTTTATATGTTTGTTTACATGAATCCAGTGTTGGATGCATTCTTTTGTACAATGGTCAGGGAAAGTTTCACAGCAGCACCTCCGATACATTGGATTATGTTGTTGGTCAGGCAAATTTTACTGTGGAAAACCTTAGGGATTTCTCTGGGAATTTGTCTGCTGCTAAGAGGATCAAAGTGACCAACTTGCTTGTACCAGGTGATCTACAAGGTAGGATTGATGAGATTGTGACCAAGGTTAATACATCCGCGGATGATCTAGATAGACGCGCAGCTGACAATTCAAAAAATATCAGAGATGTTTTAGAAACTGTGTAAGTATTTTCCGCATCTTTGGGCGGGTTTCTCTTCAGTTCAAAACTTTGGGTTTCTTTTGTATGAGATTATATGCTTGATGTAATGCAGGCGATTGATTTTGATCATCGTAGCAGCTGTGATGCTTCTATTGACATTTCTGGGCTTTGGTGAGTTATTTACATATTTATATGATATTTGAATATGGAATATTTTTTTTTGTTTTGTTATGCTAAACTGATGAAAATTTATTTTCTTGCTTGAATATTAGTTTTTTCTATATTGGGATTGCAATTCCTTGTCTACATGTAAGAGCCATCTTTTTGTTGTATTTGTATTATTAATGCTTATAATTAACATAAGTTGGGAGTTGATCACTTCGTTGTTAATTTTTCAGCTTAGTGCTCATTGGATGGTTTCTTGTTGCGGCGACATTTATTATGTCTGGTGTATTCCTTCTTTTGCACAAGTAAGTTCTATTTGGCATTAAGTTATGATTAGATTACTGGGCACCTTTGTAAGCATTCTTTGCACTGTTGTTGAAGTATTTAGCATTTTAAATTAACATGGATAATTTCCTTTTTGAAACAAATTTACTTATTTTTGTTGCACAATGAATTGCCAAAAATTTGATAGATATAGTAAATGGTGTTCTACATGTGAAACTTGCATGTATCATCATGATAAAAATAAAGAGAAAAAAATGAATCTGTGAGCAGAGGAATTTTTTCTCAATTTTCATTATAGCATGCCTTAACTTCCAACATTATTTTTCCCAATCGCTTCTTTATTTTTTGACATTAAGTGCAACAAAAATAAGATTAGAGAGAAAAGGTTGGAGTAGCTCCAGTGGAAGATAAGATTAGATAGAGTCGTCTTAGATGGTTTGGTCACATTAAACGGAGGCCTTCCGATGACCCGGTTAGGAAAGTTGAGGTATTAGATTTGACTTATGTTAAGAAATGTAGAGGTAGACCTAAAAAGACTTGGTTAGAAAATATTAGAAATGATATTTCTTTATTAGATTTAAATGAGAATTTGACTTTTAACAGGACACAATGGCGAAAAAGAATTCATTTAGCCGACCCTATGTAGTGGGACAAAGGCTTGATGTTGTTGTTGCTTCTTTATTTTTTTTGAAGTTTGTCCCCTGTCTACTGCACTGCTTGTGGTTGGAACCATAAGCAGTTACTGTGGAATTTGTAGAAGTCTGATATATATTTTTAAAATTTTACTTAAGTTTGTTAGACTTTTGATTGTCGACTTCAAAATGGTTTAAAAATTATGACTTGATAGGGAATAGTTGCTGCTGTGATGGTTAGGAGCAGCAATTCTACATAATTTTAAAGCAGCAATTAAGAAGCATCTCCTAAAAATCTTTCTTAGCTGGTGCAAATTTGAATGCACTAATAAGACAAATAAATAAACATAATGTGGAAGGATTATGAAGAAGGGGTGTAGACTACAGTTAATATGTCTAGAAGTTGTGCAAAATAGAGTTAACACCTTATTGGGCACCCACCCAACAGGAATGATTGGATGATGCATTATGCTAATTTAAAATATTTGCCTATATTGATTTTTAAATTTGAATGCAATACTTTTGCGGCTTAAAAAGTCAAAATGATCTGTCTGTACTTTTAATCAATTCTTTTGGTACGAGTCCAACCTATTGTACGCTTTACAATAGTCCACTATGATAGCTTCCTATATGGTATGACATGTAATGATTTGCATTGAAGAGAAAAAGATATGCCACCCTTGGTTCAAAGTAGATTGTTGGAGGATGATGATAGATCCATTTAAGATCTTATGATTTTGTTATCTCGAGTTTTCATGGACTTTAAGATCTTATGATTTTGTTATCTCGAGTTTTCATGGACTTTAATAGGACACAATGGAGAAAAAAGATTCATGTAGCCGACCCCACGTAGTGGGATAAAGGCTTGATGTTGTTGTTGTTGTTGTTGAGTTTTCATGGACTTTATTCTACGTAGAGAATGTAGTTGATCTAACTTGACAGGACAACCTTTCGTAGCAACTATGGGTTGTGTTATCCAAGATGAAAGCTTGTTAAAAAAATGCTAATTTCAGGTGCGATCAAGGTTAAAAAAGGGCTTTTGTGTTTTATCAAATATGTTATATGACTCATAACTTATAAAGTTAGCCAGCCATTGAAAAACATTTGGGTTTGGCCCATCTTTCTATTATCTTGAGGTTTTTGATAATCAATTGACTCAATTTTACACAAGACACCACAGGAGAGAAACTAAGGTTTAGGTTTGAGAATCAAATTGTGTTCTCCTTTTCATGACGATACGTAGATGCTAAGATAATTCATGCTTACTTCTAATGGAGTATTTGCAGGATAAATATTTTGTAGGCCTACTAGTATAGTCGAATTATGTATATACTTAGGCTGATTCAAGAAACAACGAAGGGATTAGTGTAAATTTTCCAGACCTAAGAAGTAAGTAGGATTACCAAGTTTCTTGAATTGAAATATGGCAGAAGTTATTGCAGATGGGTAATATGTGCTAAATTTATTCTAGTGATGACAATATCATTAACATAAACTAGGAAAACAATACCAGTAGATGTCTTGCAAAAACAAGATGAGTTATATTGGCTCTGCTTAAAGGAGAAACACAACAAGGTTGACGAAAATTTATCAAATCATGCCCAAGGAGCTTATTTTAATCCTTATAATGTATACTTCAATTTATATGCATTTGAATAAGAGAAAAATCTAGGTGAGAGAACTATGTAAATTTCCTTCATTAGGTCATCATGAAGAAAAATATTTTTAACATTCATTTTGAGTGGTCATCATTGTGAAGCAACAATAGAAATAATCATTTATACTTTAGTCATTTTAACCATCCGTATTCTTGTTTTTTTCCAAGAACAAACGAGCATGCCTTATAGTGATGCAAAGTACAATCAAAGCATATCTTGATCAAGTAAATTCATTTGCACTTGATGACTTTAATATTAGGATGAAAATAAACAATATCCTATGTATGGCTGTTCTTAAGAGCTCGAAGTTTTTTTGCCATTGCTTCATGCTAATAAACATGTTTAATGCCTATGAATAACATGAAGGAATGGAAATAGATGCCAAGGTAGTGTTAAAGTCATTCCAATTTGGAGGATGAGTGATTCTCTAAGAATGTATAAGAGAATTGATCGAATTTCAACTAGCTGGCTTTTGTAGTAAATCAATTTGAACATATTCATCTAGTGGTTCATCTTGGGAAGTCGTAAAGTTGGGCATTTTCATTCATAGAAAAATTTATATTTGAATTTTTAAAGGCCAGGATTTAATATATGAAAAGTGGGTGGAACGTCTATCTCTTGCAAAGGCTCAATATGAGTAGGTAAGAAAAATGATTGTCAAAGAAAAATTGTATCAAGAAATACGAGATTTATTAAAGTTGGAGAAGAAACTCCAATGAAGGTTGCAAGTGGCCATAAATCTCCCAACAAATTGTCCTTAATGATATCAGACAGAGAACCTCAAAGTGAAAAATCATAGAAGTTGTTTCATGACATGCTTGCACTCCAAAAGATTTGAATTATATGAAAATATGCTATGTTGAACGTCGAGATATGACATATGGGTAGCATAGATCCTAGAGATCCACCATCGGAAGGTCCTAAGACCCAACTCCATGGTCAAGATTTTAAATACCCAAAATTGCTTGATGAGCATTAGGGAGTAACATCTGGGATAATGCTATTCCTAGATATTCACCCTCATAAGGTCGCTACAGTGCACTTAGAGTTTAAGGCCTCAAATCTCTAAAATTTATTGATGAGCATCAAGTTGTAGCATCAGAGTAATACAACCCCAAAATATACCAATGGAATGTTTCTACATGAATAAGTTCGTAAGAAATCAAACCGTCCTTTATAGTTTTACAACCTAACTTGAGGTGCTCTACATGGGGTCCTAAGACCCAACTCCATGGGTATCCAATGGGTACCCAACCAGGAACTGAGTAAAGCATGGATATCCAATGGGCACCAATGCGATCGATCCTATAGACCCATTGTCTTTCTCAGGATATTGATTTAACCTTGTTTCCACTAATTATTTGATTCTCCTAAAAGAAGTCAATGTAGATAATGTGACAATTTTTTTAAGATCATATTATCTATCAATTAGGAGTCCACGTTGAATTATATCTGCTAATGACATGACCTTCAGAAGTTTTAAAGTCTATCGATTCGTCAAGCTACATAAGATAGATTGGAGTACTCATTATATAACCCGTGAGCCATTGATTTGATCGAGGTATTCAATAATTCTTGAGAAAATTCTCTCTAAAAATAAGAAACAAATGACAGAAAAAACTAATATAAGTTCTATGGGCCTTTTATGCTTGTCATACCACATAAAATTATAATGTTGGTCACTCCATTGTTCGGAATAGATGTGCTACCCTCTCTCGAGTTTGAGCCACTTTTACTCCGTATTGCCATCCAATATGAAGTCACATGAGAATTGCTCTTGTATGACTCAATAAATTTGAAGCCCTTGACGAAGTTTGACTTTAAGCTAAACAAAATTTTGAAAGCCATAGGACAATGTTAATTAGATACCTTGATTATGTGGTTAGCCTTAAAACTGTAGAGTGATGAATTAGTACTCAAGAGCTATTATATGTTGTTAGCTAGACCATTTTACAAACTCTCAAAGTCCAAAGATCGAGCTATTCTCATTTGCTCAAAATGCTATTTATGTCAAGTCAATTCTTATAAATGTTCAAGTTTAGCAAATTAAAGGATGGAGCCAATCTATAATCATGGAACAATACTTGTTGAACAATTATCCCATAGACCTAAAGGGAAAGTTGAGTTGTTTCTTAAAACTCCCTTGTCAAATCATACATGTTAATAGAAAATAATAACATACTATCGTCCATAGTGTGTCGAGGTGCATTCATGCAGTATTTACATAGCAAGGCATGGGTTATCCAAATTACTCTTTCTCTTAGCGCTATGAAGGGGCATTAGCGCATTGCACATTGCCCTGTAATACATGCTATTTTGATTTCTCTATTTTTATCACTTAAAACAAATGTCAATATTCTTTACTTTTTTTAGTAGTTTTATTTTTTATTAGACTTAGCTAAGGCTTTGCGATGAATGCAAGACATGGAGAGGGCTTCAATGCATGTGGGAGTTAGCTAAAGCTTGTAGCAACTGCCTAAAACATGTGAAATATGAAGTTCAAGGGTATATGAACAAGGAGTTCATAGAACAAATTAATGAAATACCACATGTTGATATGTGATATGATTTTAACATGGTGATGGATAATGACATTTTATGTATTGGACCATCAAAAAGATACCATTAATCAAAATTAAGTAGTTCGAGTCAAAATTCATCGACTTCTATGCTTAAAGAACCGAAGGTTAAATGATCGTTGGATACATTTTAATCTCAAATGAATTAAAGAGGTGAAGCGATGAAAGTGGAGATCTTATTTATCATGCGCCCCTTCTGTGGAGCCCTCTTAAGGATTTTTTTAGCAAGAAATACACCAAACATTAGGTACACACTTTGGGGCTCAATATGCCCTCTAGAGTCTCTTAGATAAGTGGATGTCTTACCTATCACTTATGTTTTTGGTTCATATTATGAAGCTCTCTTGGGGATTGTTTATCATTAATTACACTTTGGGGCTTTTAAATTAGCTTGCCCTCCAAATTTTTTTGGATTATGAAGCCCTTATAGGGGTTATGTGCAAAGTTGAGATTTTGTTAAAAATTTCTTGTGGAATTCCTCATATATGTATGATGCCTTGGAGAAGTGGTTGTTAGGATAAGTCCCCTTTAACTACTATCACTCTCTAGACATAAACATTGGCAACACCTCAGGATTTCAATATAAACAGAGTCTTAAATCAATTTTGACAATACGAGCTACCTCCTTGACATTTTTCACCCTAATTTGGGCAAGATGAGGTTGTATTGATACGTCTGCAGATGGTAGTGGGAAGACGATGCTTGATGATAAGTATGCTTGAGATGTTAATTTAATACATTCTTATACCGTTACTTTCATGTTTATTTTCCAATATTGACTTGTTTTTCATAGGCACAACAAATTGTTGCTTGATGGAATATTTATGAAGGTAGAGGGAGAGTTTATCTATTTTTCGTTTCCTGAAAATTTCGCTCACATTGATAAGTTGAGAGTAAGGTATAATTTATAAGATTTTTTATATGAAAAAAACTGAGGGGGAAAAATCATTTGGCTTTGCTTAGTTGAAATAGTTCCATTAATGCTAGTCAAAAGTTACAAAGGATTTCCTCTTCATAACTAGAGAAGGTGGTGTTAATTCATAGTAGATATGAATCATGGAAGATATCTTTTATGATGTTATAAAGAGGAGTCTTGAGATACTAAAGTTATCATCTGATAATGATAGGTGGTTGTTCTCTTGATAGTAGGGAGTTTAGATGGCCAATAAGATGTGGGTTGCTGGTTGACGACATTGGAAGTTGGGTGATGATCAATGATCAAGTCGATCATTGTTCTAATTGGAGAGGAGATGAGGAAATTAATAAGGTTTGTGTTGGATGTCGTTCATTGTTGGCATTGGGCAACAATGGATAGTAAGATATTGGTAGGCTTTAGATGAGTGTTTAATGTCGGTTGTTGATTAATGTTAGAAATTGATAGACTTTAGATTATAGTTGATTGGGAGTGCTAGAGGTCGAGCAATGGTTGCCTTAATTCATCTTCTAATAAGAGGGAAGACTAGACAATTGGTAACACAATTGTCATGCATTAGTTGGTAGGCATTGAATGATGATTTATGAAAATGTGAAAAGTCTACTGACAATGTACAATCGTCTTGGTTCTCTTGATAGGATAGGGATTGGGTGATTGAGAAGATATTGTTTGACATTGATCATTTTTAGGTATCGATCAATGGTTGACCAAAACTTTGAGAGTTTAGAGATGATGGGCGGTCAGTCTTGTTGTCTTGATAGGAGATGAGATCCTTGTAAGATGGACTTTAGTCGTTAGTAGGTGTCAATTGATGATCAATAAGGACTGTCGGAAGTTGAGTGATGGTGGGTGATATGCTTGGTTATTGTCTTAATAGCAGAGGTGACTAGGCAAACAATGATATGAATATCACACGCATGTTGTTAGTAGGTGTTGGATGATTGCTTATAGGGAATGTTGTAGGTTGGGCAATAATCGATGATTAGCTTAGTCATTCTTCTCATAAAAGAGGAAACTTGAGCAGGTTGATGGTTAGCATACATCAGACACCAGATATAAATCGTTTGTAGGAATTCGTTGACGTTTGATTGGGAACATTAGAAGTTGTGCAACATTAGGCAATCAACTTGGTCGTTCTATCTTAGGAGAGATTTGATGATCGAAAAGATGGACATTGAACATCGATTGTAGGTAGGCTTCAGCTAACATTCAATAGGGAATGCTGAAGGTCAAATAACATTCTAGGTCTTGCTTTGTCATTATTTTGATTGGAGGGAATGACCAAATGACCTATAAGATGGGAGTTGGACATCATTCTTTGGTAGGAATATATTAGACAACGTTCGATGGAGATTGTTAGATGTTAGGCATTGCTGGGTGCTCCTTTTGGACAATCTCCTTAGTAAGACGAGATTAGGTAAACGGGATGTTGTTGATTGATAGATGTCAGATCTCAGATGTTAATCATTGGTAATTGTTAGATGATAGTACATGAGGAATTTTAGAGGTTAGGAAATGGTTGATGAGGAATGGTAGAGGTTGAGTGACAACTAGCTTGATTCTTCTTTTGATAGAAGGAGAGACTGGGTGACCATGAAGGCGGATGTCAGACTTTGGTTATGCATGTGCATTAGATGGTTGACAAAGGATGTCTAAAGTCAATTACTGTTAGCTTGGTCGTTCTCTTAGTACAAGGGGAGACTAGGTGATCGACAAGGAGGGGTTAGAAGTTGAACATTGGTGGTTGATTGACATTGGTCGTTGGTAGGGATTAGACAATGGATGATGAGGAAATCAGAAGTCAAGTGATGATAGGCGGTTAGCTCAGTCTTTTTCTTGATAAGAGGGGAGATCGAGTGACTAAGAAGGCGGGTAATGATGACAACGGGCTTTGATATTGGTTGATGGCTGGCGCCAGACAATGGTGATAACGAGCATCTATATTAGTTGACGAGTGACGTCATGGCTATGAAATTCTTTACATTTGATAAGTAACCCCATTATAGGCCCTCTTACTTTTGAATGTGTAGAAATAGGTTTTTAGAAGGGGAAATTTTGTCATTTTAAAAAAAAAATCCATCTAGTAATCCAAAAAGTTCTTCGTGATTATTGTTTTTTATTTTGAGAAAAGAATCAAAATAGTCATGGACTCTTTATGGAGGGCCAAAATGATCACTAACTATATTAAAGGATCATTTTGATCCCTTAAGTCTTTAAAACGAAATTAAATAGTATCATAATGGGAATATTTTGGTTCCACTTTAAAGAGTTGAGGAACCTAAATTGTCTTTTAATATAGTTGGTGATCATTTTGGTCTTTAATAAAAAGTCAAAGGGACCATTTTGATCAATTTTTTTAAAATTTTATTTCTAAATGCCTAATTGAAATTACAATTGATTGATTTTGAACTCATCTTATTTGTTTCATTAGGGCATTTATTTTAAATTTAGAGTATGTTTGACCTCTAAATAATGTTAAAAAGTTAATTATACTTAATAATTGTTTGATTTAAGCTCATTTGGACTTTCATCTGTATTATTAATATTGTTGGGTTCAACTTGCCATATCTCATCATCTTGATTATTATTATTATTTTTTGAAATGGTGTTTAGACGATCCCAAACTCAATTTCCAAAATTTCTAGCCCAAATACTTAGTTTTTTTGGGATAAAAAATTGTTTAAAAAATCTGTATTTGATCAAATTAATTTTCTGGTAGCATATCTAAAAAAAATTCAAATCAATACAAACATCAGATACTCAGAAATTTAACTCCCGAGTTCAGTACACAATTCAAATACTCAATGAAAAAAAATTTTGCATGCAAAATGATGCTCAGCATAATAGAATGATCAAATCCTTCAAACCTGACAAAGATTTCTCCCTGTTTCAGCGTCGTTGCTGACACCTGCGTCTCCATGAACGAATGGGTCATTCACCCTAGCGAGCACACTGCATTGGATGACATCCTTCCTTGTGTAGATATCTCCACTGCAAATGAATCCTTGTACAGGAGCAGGGAAGTCACCTACAAGCTGGCAGACATTGTCAACAATGTCATCAACAATGTGGCAAACCCTAATAATCCGACCATTCGCTTCAACCAATCCGGTCCATTGATGCCGACACTGTGCAACCCCTTCAACAACGATCTGAGCAATCGCACTTGCTCTTCCGGCGAGGTTACTCTAACCAATGCATCACAGGTAAACCCTAAACAACTGAAAATCACTCAAACCCTAAGATTCCAGTTTTGAAATCTTCCAAATGATCTTGAGATCCTGCAGGTATGGAAGAAATACGAGTGCAGTGCCAGTTCTACAAATGGAGTTGAGATTTGCACGACAGTGGGGCGTGTAACTCCTTCTATATATGATCAAATGGCCGCTGCTGTATCTGTGGGATATGGGCTATACCATTACGGACCTTTCCTTGTTCAGCTTGAAGATTGCAGCTTTGTAAGAGAGACATTCAGTTCTATCAACGAGAACAACTGCCCTGGTCTCAAGAAGTACACCAAGTGGGTGTACGTTGGTCTGACTCTGGTTTCGACGGCGGTGATGCTTTCGACGATCTTTTGGGTCGTCTATGCTCGAGAAAGGAGGCATCGGGTTTATGGAAAGCAGAGGTATTTTCATCAAGGACAGGTTCCAGTGATGGATAAGTAGAGGGACTGTTTGTTTTTACTGATCGTTCAGTTGTAGCTTTGTTGCTGTGAAGAGAATGGTTTGGATCTGAATATCTGATGGTGTGTTTGGTTCTCAGAATTTAGTGAAGGAAGGATTTTGATGATTAGAGCTTGTATGGGAAGTGTTTGTTGATATTAGTTGGGGAAGAAGATGGGATGCGTTTTGTTTTCAAGTAATTTTAATGATGTTTTTTTTTTTGTTTGTAGGAATGATTTCAAACTTTCTAAGTCTGCTGGTAAATGGAGTTCAAATTTAATGCTAATTTATTATTCTTCTATGATTATTGCTAATTGTATGATTAGATTAATTATTTTTATTTAGGTAAGACTAATTATCCTAAATTATGTTTTAATTCAGAATAGGAAAATGGTGTTTCTAGGTTATCTTAATGTTCATTAGTTTTTAAATATGGAACATGAAATGATGAAACAAGCAAGAAAGTAAAAGACATCAAGATTTAATGGGAAAAATAAAAAATAGTGAAAAATTACGGAGCCACATCAAACCAAAAAATTTATTATGAAAATTGAAAAAAATAAGTACATCTCTTTTCTCCCTTACTTCTCCTTGTTTCTCTTCTCACATGTAATGTTCTCACTCTTGTTCTAACTAAAAATACAAGAGAAAGTCAAGCAAAATAACTTCAAGGGATGCAACTCTTTAGAAAACAAGAAAGAAAATTGTCCAGTCCGTTTTGTAGTGCTGTGGCGCTCAAGCCTATGTCTTGAACCGCTCAGCGCTCTGCTTTCTATCGTTTAGTGTAGGGGTACTCGGGTATGTAGTGTCATGGTGTTGTACGGGAAAACAAAAATTATCGGATTAAGATAACCCAAACTCAAGTAGGGGTAACACCCCAATTTACAAAATAAACTTTGAGGTCCGAGATAATAGAATAACCAAATTGATCAACATAATCAAATTCCACACATAACACAACTCATTTGGGTTTGTTGGTTGAGAACTTTGATTATTAATCAAGAGGTTTTAGATTCAAAATTTATATATGTGATGTGGGTGCAAGTTTGTCTTAATTGACTCAACTGACCCCCGCATCAACTCCCTACATATTGATCTCTTGTTGCTAAGATTCAGAAGAGAATATTGTCTTACATGATAATCAATTGTATTTATTATCATCACTCATTCAATCAGATGCGGCTTTGTTATCTTGATAAAGATAAGGCCAATAAAATTGTGACCGAAATCAATGAAAGATTATGCAAGGCTCGTCAAATAACACTTATAAATGAAATTGCAAAACAAAATATGTCTATTATTATTGTTTGTTTGGGACATTTAAGCTAATTAAGACAAACTCACACACATAAGCTTCAAATCAAAGACTTTTTGGTTGATAGTCAAAGCTACCAGACCAAAATTAGCTGTGTATGTCTATTATTGACCAACCATTACTTAGAATCTTTGATTAATGCTAAGTATTGATACGTCATCTCAAAATTATCTTGATCGGGCACGAATCTCGAGACAAAAGCTAGTTGGAAACTTCAAAAATTAATTTCGGGAGCATATGAACTCCGATTTCATCGAGCTTACAGTCAAACTGAGCGTCTCGGAAATACGAACCCAACGACACCAAGATCAACCTAATCTGAACCCAAATGAGTCCGAATCAAGGGTTCAAAGCGCTGTTGGAAGGTTCAAACGGCAATTTGAGTTACCAAACGGTCTCCGATTTTGACGAGCTTATACTCGAATCGAACGGCTCGACGAGACGAATCCAACGAGCCCAAGATCATCGAATTCCAACATCATTAAGGCCTTCAAATGTCCAACGAACGGTGCATGATCAAAGGATTCGATATTGGCCGTCCATTCAAACCACTCCCTGTTCGCCCTTGATCTCACGCCTATTTACGGGCTATACCACTCCAGAAAAACTATAAATAGAGCTCTCATTCTACACCAAGGGGACTAAAATGAAGAGAGAGAAGAAGAAGAGAAGGAGAAGGAGAAAGGGGAAAAGGAGATTCCTCACCTCCTCGACCACCGCCGGAGCTCTTCCTGCCGCCTGAAGACGCCGGAACTCTGCCGGATTTTCAGGAAACGCCGGGAATTCGCAGAATTTTGTAAACTTCTTGGAAGAAACAAATTGTATTTGGATTATCCCAACTTGTGGGATGGAATCCGCCATTTTTAATCTACAAAAACACTAGTGGAACTTTGCAACTGGGCGAGGCCCCGTGGTTTTTTCCATTTTTGGGTTTTCCACGTAAAAACTCTTGGTGTTCACTTCTCTTTTCTGTTTGTGTGTTAACTTACGTGCAACGCTCGAACGCGAATTTACAAACTCTACCGCCTCGTATTTTCTAACACACAACAAGTATAAAGATCTGTTCTATGCATCTCCAAATCTATTTGAATGTTGAGATGCAGAGGTCAGGCTCTAAGATGTTTTTTAAAAGGGCGTATGTTTATATTGGCTGCAACAAATTTTTTCTCCAAGTAGGTAGTAGCAATATTGTTGAGAGAAGGTAAAGCATATAAATGTGCTACTTTTCTAGAGACCATATTCTATATGTTTATTATCATTATTTTTGAGATATTTAAGTCAATTAAGTCAAATTTACACACACTATCATATACGTAAGACTCGAATCGAAGACCACTTAGTTGATAGCCAAAGCTCCCAATCAACAGACCAAGATGAGTTGCGTATATGTTTATTATACCTCTACAAATTATTTCCGAGCTTTCAAAAGCACAAACATTAATAAATTTATTTAACATTATAACATTGAATGACGATACTCGACGATCTATTCTCTTATGGTTAATGATTTAGCCGAATCTTTTAATAAAATACTAATTGATCTTTTGAAAAAAAAAAAAATATTTGTAAAACAAAAAAGATTGACAAAATAAAATGTGAATTTTACAGCAAAGCAAAGCGCTCTTGATTGATCTTCTCATTTTTTTAAGTTTAGGGTTTTAAAATTATCTATTTTTATTATTTTTTAAAGGAGTTTTTTAATAAAAAAATTTTTGAACTAAAACTTTTTGTACTATAAAAGCTTCTTTAAAAAGCAATAAGAAAGCCGTCCCAAATAAAAGTTTTGTTTGTGATGATTTTTTTACTACTTCTTAAAGCAATTTTTTAGGGAAAAAAATTAATTTTTTTACTAAAAAACTGCTTTAAGAAGCAATAAGAAAACAGTCCCAAACGAAGCCAAAGCCTAAATATCATCTAAAGATTTACGCTAAACTAATTGGCCTTTAAAAGAATAAAATATAATTAAAATTCAACCCAAATAACATTATATTGGATTTCAGTTGAATTTATATGTATCTCATAAGGGTGATAATGGGATTCACTAAAATTATAGAAGTAAGATTTAAATAATGAAAGAATACTCGAGCTTTTTTGAAATTCCAAATATAAAAGAAAAAAAGACCATAAAAAATGGTTATATAAAATATATTGAGATATCATTTAAATCTACAGCATATTTACAAATTAAGATTTTGTTTGGTATAACTTTTTTTTTTTTTTTGTAAAGCTGTTGCAGAGAAATTACTTTTAAAGTTGTTGTAAAAAAATTAAATTTTAGTACAATTTTTTTTTTTAAATATCATTTAACTGTTAAGCTTATGAGAACCCTTAACTTGTTCACTAAACTTACTGGGCTGCAGTTGAACTTACTGAAAAGTTCTATTATTATATCCCCTAATGTCTCTAGTCCTAATGACATTTCTAATACGTTGCAAATTCACAATGTTTCTACTAAGTTTACTTAGGCATTCCTTTATCCATTAGTAGAACAACGGTTTCAGATTTTGCTCCTCTTTTGGAGAAAATAACTGTGTTACTAACTGGTTGGAAGGCTAGGATGCTCTCATTTGCTGGAAGGTTGCAATTCATTAAATATATCATTATTAACACTGTGGCTTATTGGATTAGAAGTATGATTATTCCAAAGTCTATTTGCAAGATAATAGGAAAGTTATGCTCTAAATTTTTATATCATGGGGACATTGACAGTAAAAAAATACACCTCATATCTTGGAATAATACTTGTAAACCGTATTCTTTGGGTGCACTGGGTATTGCTTCATTTCAAGTTTTAAATTTTTCTTACAACTGTTGCATTATCTTGAGATGTTACAACTCAAACTCCCTTCTTTCTAAGTGGCTGATAGCTAGATACTCTTCTCCTTGGAAACATGCTTCGTCCCAAGCAACGGTGTACTGGAAAAGCATTTGTAAAACTGTTGAAATGACAAGGGAGAAATTCAATTTATCATTTCTAACAATAGTCCTATTTCTATTCTTTGGGATCATTGGTGTCTGGGGGAAACTATCTCAGAAAAATTTCAAAATATTCATCTTAATTTGAATAATAAACGTCAGCTGGCTAGTTGGATTAATGATGGAGTTTGGTACATCCCGGAAATTGAAAATTCCTCTCTTAGGAATTTTATCCTAGATATTCATATTGCAACTGATGGTAAGAATCATATTGGTTGGGACAAGAAGGAGAATGCTAAGTTTAAAGATTTCTATTTATATTTTTTTGCTGATGATGTCCATTTTGATTGGCATCATTTGGTTTGACATAAAAAACATGACTTGAGGTACTCTGTTTATTCCTGGATGGCGCTCAGAGGGGGTTTAAAAACTTGTGAAGTATTGGCTGCTAGGAATATCCATATAAAGGAAAATACTTGTAATTTATGTCATAATAATTTGGAGACTATATAACATCTGCTTTTTGAATGTGACTATTCTTTTAAAGTGTTAGTCAAGCTCATCCCATCATTCCAGACACATTATTTTAGGCTGTCTGCTTATTTAGCACTTCTCCATATTGATAATATGGATAAGTCTAAAAGTATTAAGTCTGCTCGCCTTCTTATTCTGAATGCTGTTATTTATCACATTTGGATTGAGAGGAACAATAGAAGTTTCTTGTCTTCTGCTTTATGTGCAAATACTTTGGTTAAGAAAATAACCAAAGCTATTATTATCAAGTTGATGGGTTGGAAAAATGGCAATGAGGATGAAAGAGGCTTTGAAAGTACTGGAATATTACTGATGAGGTCTCTCTTTTCTATGCTGGAAGGATTGGTTTCTAATTGATAAATTCTGAGAATTGTTTGGACTTATTGTTATTCATATTTCATTAAGGAACTTTGTTATCATTTGCTTGATGCTTGACAAAATTATGCTGAAATTTTAGATGATCTCTATCCTGACTGCGAATTGTGGATTGCTGGTGTCAAATTTTGATGCCCGATCCTTTTTTGTGATATTTTAGA